TCCTGCTGATGCTACAAGTCAGCTTCTTCCCTTTTGTGGAGATTGAAGGCAAACTTCTGGATCCCATCTGCCCTCAAAGCCTAATTAAAACCTCTACTCCTGAAACCTCTACCTCATTAGGCTCCATCTAGATGTTGTGAATCCCTAAGGAACTCTCAGGTCTGTGTGCAGTGATTCAAACCAGAGACAGGAAAGATGGCAGATGTTACGTTTGTGTAGAGCAGCATGTCTCCAGGCCGTAATCACCAGGACATTCACCATAGTTATATGGATGAGACCTGCTTGGGTTGCAGGACCAGAAAGCCCTCTTATAGTGCTCACTTATATCAGCCATGGATGTTTAGATGGTAAAGGAGGGGGGAAGGGCATGCTGAAAACAAAAATTGCAAAAACTGCCTTGCCAATGCTTTAATGTTTTCACCGTTTTCCCTTATTCACAGGAGAACTGCTGAGTCAGCCGAGACCAGAGGGACTGACGGAGATCATCTGTCCCAAGAACGGCAGCGAGCGAGTTAATGTTGCCTTGGTTTACCCCCCAACTCCTACTGTGATCAGCCCTTGTTCCAAGTGAGACCTGAAAGCAGACCCCCGTCCCCCTCTCAGTAGACACCAGAAAGCCACTGTTAAAACATGCTCTCACTAAAGCAATTTTTCTAGAAGGTAGTGGCCCCACAGCCTGGGGACTGTTCTAATTATTTGTGGAGATAAAGAGCCTGCTTAAAGGATAAGAGGTACAGTAAAATGGGTGGAGGTGTTCCCTGAGCTGTGTGGTGGGAGATGCAAGACACACATACTGGGCAGGACAGATGAGGAGATAATACAATCATGGGCAGTCTTAGGTAGGAAGGGACCTCAGGAGGTCTCTGGAGGTACCTCAGGAGGTCTCTTTCTGTCCCCTGCTCTAAGTGGGGCCACCCTTGCAATCCAGGTCATGTTGTTTTCAGTGTTGTATAAGCAAGGGTAGATTTTGCATTGAAACGACCGTCATGGGTGAAAGTGCCACCAACTCTCCAGACTCTGGAGTTATACTGCTCCTCTGGGGCGGAACTTTTTTCCTTCTGTCCCATCTGAGTCTCCCTTCTTATGGCTTTGCTTCCATTGCCACAAAGATACTGGCTTATCTTCAACATGTTCTCCTCCAGATCCCAAGCCAGCTGGGATTCTGGTGGTGCACGAGGCTGCCCTGTTCTAGTTGTAGGGCTATGCACTTGTCCTTGTTGAATTTTGTGGCCCTATTGTTGGCCCAGTCCTCTGACTTGGTGAGGTCCCTCCTGGCAGAATCCCTGCCCTCCTATGTGTCAATAGCCAGTACTTGACTCCACAGAGTGGGGATGGGCTTGGAAAAGAGCTGTGTAGTGTTGGGAACAGATGTAGAACAACACTCACAATAATAGCCAGTGCCTTGGCTTTTTGATGCATAGATTTTCTTGCAGAACAGAAAAGCAACTGTGGCCTGCTCTCTTTGGAGTGTTGCAAGGGAATGTGGCAGTGAGCTTAGGGGAGTGAGCAGAGTGTTTACTGGTGGCTGCTGCTGGGCTGCATCTGAATGCTTATTGCTTTCACTTCAGTATCTGAAATGAGCTTTGGGAGGCCGGTTTCTCTGTTCAGCACCGTCCCACCCCAAAATACACTCATCCTGCTGGAGGATGACTTCAGTGATGGGTGGCTGTTGAGCTGTGTGTGAAGGTGAAGCTGAAATGCCCACCCGGGGCAAGACACAAGGTAGCTGCCCTGATACTGAGCCGCAGGTCACCACTGTCTATTCGTTTGGTCCTCTGTACTTGGCACAGCACATTTCTAACACAAAGCTGCAGTTTTTATTGTCCTGTGCTGGCAGGCTGTGCCTATGCACTTGTCCTCATGTCCTCCAGCCTGCCTTCCACAACGTCTGACAACTGTGTCCCAGTTTCAGTCACTCTGCTGGCAGGAAACTTGTGTTCTCAAAAAGACCTCTGTTGCTTTTAAAGACCTCACCGTCCCTATTTAGAAACCTAGAGAAAATTGTGTGGCTTAGACTATTTATCACAAGCACTATGAACCCTTCTGCCCGTGCTACATTATTTCTTCTTTACCCTTTCCTCTTCCAGATAAATCATCAGTGCTGGTGCCAAAGGTTTTCCACCGGGCAGGACGTGGCTGATGCTCTGCAGTGCTCCCATCTCTCCAGTTGTGGAGTTGCATGCTGACGAGGACCGATGGGACTTTGGACTCTGAAACGCTGTGGGGCAGGGGCAGCTCCCAGGTGGGGGCCTCGTGGCTGGAGTGGACGCAGTTGCCTGGAAGTCTGGGACAACAACGAGGCATGAAGCAAAATGAGTGCTGCAGATGGCAGGGCCACTGGCCAGAGGGGAAGCACTGGAGATAGGATTCTGTGGACCCATTGATCGTGTGTTGAAAACCCATTTAGATCTCATGATGAATGTAAAAATGTTCTTGGTACCATTTAATTCAGACCTGCTTGGAGGAAAGTCTCTTGAAATGAGCTGTAGCGGGATTCCCTGGATTTGTTCCTGGACAAGTGAGTTTTATGGCAGTCGGCCAAGGCTTTGTCGGGGAGGGGGTTGATGCTGTGAAGTCTTTAGAATTGCTCCACTGCAAAACAGTTGGCTGTGTCCCACACAACAGGCTTGGGTCAGGCTTGAGTGGTGGCCAGCAGAGCAGGAGGAGAAACAGACTGGGAAAAGCTTCCTCCTTTGTGTTTTCACATACTGTGTGTCATGAAGCGCTAAGGATGTTTGTAATTATACAGGGACGGAAGAAGGGCAGTCGGCATGTCCCCGGAACACGCCATTTCTTCCTTATCACTAGCACCCAGAAGCTCACGGTCTGCCATGTCTGGGTGCTCTGGAGTTGTCATTGCTATATTCTCCATACACTGTGGCCACTAGAGTGGTAGAAATCTAGATCTGGGTCTTTTTCATAGCAAAGCTGCCTGGGCATCTTTGTGTGGAGGTCTGTCTAGTGAAGCAGCATGTGGCTGTGTTGTACAAATTGTCCCTGATGCCCTTGGGCTGACCCTGGCAGCCGTGCTTCGTGAGCAGCCGTGCACCCTGGGCCATACGTGGGCAGGGCACGCTAAGCACCGGCACCACAGTGCTGGTTTCTCTCCTGACTAGGTGGTTTTGAGGACTTCTAAGATGTTGCTATCAGTTTGTGCCCCACAGCTGAGCCCTGATAACTGGGCCATACGAGTCCTGCTCTGTGCAAATATTTGGTTTAGTGCAATTCAATAGGAGGCAGAGCCAGGATCCCGTCATGAGATGCTGGTGGATGTCTGAGAGATGACTAACTTAAAATGTTTGTGTTAACATTCATCTCTTAACCCTTTGGGCTGTGATGGCAGACCTGGAATGGGTGATACTGGTCAGCAGGCAGTCCTCACCAGGATGCTGACTGGCCAGGCCTGCAACCAGTGCAAGACAGTGACATGTGTCCTGCTGGGACGTGCTGCTGTTGCACAAGTGATGTTCCCCTGGTCCTTCAAATACCACCCTGGTGTGCAGGGCTGCATATATCCCCGCTGACAGAAACTTCACACTGGAAGTGCAGGGCAGAATCCGCTCTAGCAGGAGATTGCAGAGCCCAGGTGGAAGAAATCAGGCCGTTGTGCCTCACTTCGAAGGGGAGAGCTGCCAAATAAAAGCTGGCAGCTCAGTCAACCTCATATCTTTTCTGGGTATCATTCCAGATGGGAAGAGAGCTTGAACTCCGATTTCATGTATCAACCTGCCACCTCTAGCAACACACATATGAACATCTCTTATGTCGGTGCGAAGCATTAATTGATTGTGCTTCTGTATCATTGTCGATAAAAACTGTGGACTAGAAATTGCCTGTGGTGGCTGGAGGGAGCAGAAGGGAGATGAGATCTTTGAATGGTGTCAGGAATAGTGGTGGGAAGCTCCTATGTCCTGAATCTAGCTGCCCACGAGACATGAAGGGTATAGTCCGAACTTACACTAGAGCATTCCTTACTGCCACCTCCTGTGCTGGGCAGCCTTCTCCTCCTCTCATTACTGCTACTCACCTCTCTCTTTCCATTCTCCATAGGAAGAAAATAGCGATTCGTTGCTGTGACACTGCGTGGAAACCACACTAATGAAGCCACAAACTGGAATCCTTTTCCAGCCGGAGGCCTGTTTCCCAGTGCACCCATCTGGTCTGGGATGCGCAAGCATCGAAGGAATGAGAGTACAGAGCAGAACGTCTTACAGCCTGCTCCTCGGGACTGCGGCCCTCCCGCCAGGGCACGTCACCTCAGCAGGAGCACAGCATTACCTGGCCTTTGCAGGCACACATTCTGCCTGATGCCAGCAGTGTGTCAGTATGGAGATCAGTCTAGTTGGGTCTATTTAATACGAGATGGTGATCACTCATCCGCCCACTGTTTAGTAACTGGTGTAACTGTGTTTTCATCTGTGTTTTTTTAATATGCAAAAGCCATTTAATTTTCTATGCAGTTCAAAAACAACTCCCCTTTGCAACTGCCACGTGGGAGATCTGTGCAGGAGAACCAAGCCAAGTGGCTGACAGTCCTTTTGATTTTGCTGTCGCTCTCTTTTAAGGATGCATCCTGGAATCCTCTGCACACAGTGTCCATTTGCTGAGCTCCTGCCTCTTAGACCCCACATAACATCCCTGAGCCCCAGGGATGAGGGCCCTGTGTTTTTGAAAGATCTGTCATTTTTGATGGGTCAAGCCACAAGGAAAGAGGGCTTGAAAGCAGTGCCCTAAGAGCAGAGATACCTGGGTTCAGAGCATGTATTATATTCTTGTTCTTGTCCCTGCTCGGACAGTTACTGAACTGTTAGAAACGACTAAGGCCTCTGTGGAGCACCCCGCAACCTTTACTGAAAGCGTACTGTGAAGAGGGCTGAAAGGACTGGGGCATCAATAGCATCCCTGTGGAGCTTACAGTGAATCTAACCCCTCTGGAACAGGATGAGAACCCCCTGGTACTAGATGCCTACTTCACTCAAGAGGACTGCACTGGTTATGCTTATTGGTTTGCAGACCCGTTGCCTGTTGACCAGTTGATTTCCTACTGCAACTGGTGCAGACAGATTTGGAAGCAGAGCTGGCAAGTTGCACTGCAGGACTTTCAGCAGCAGGAACATGTCCTGGACTACCTTGTGTTACACAAAACCTGGGATTCAAACCTGCATCCGTCCAAATGAAGCTCCTAGGATAGCAACTTTGCCTTCTGCTGGGTCTGCGTAACCTGAGAAATTGCATATCCCAAAGCAGCACACAAATCTGTTGAGGTAGAGTGAGAGGGAGCCCAGAGGAGAATGCTGCACATCTAGCTCACCTTAGGGTTTGTAGGGGTACTTGGAAGCCTCTGGCAACTGCAGAGCATCCTGGGTGATGCAATATCTCTGCTTTAACTGTGCTAAAGGCAAAAAAGTAAGAGAAATAAAATTGTTTCCAACCTGCCACGAGACCAGAATGTGGTCGACCAGCCTCCTGTCACGGCAGTGCTGTTGTTTCTGCATTCTGGCCTGAGCTTGGGGGTTTCAGCTTTAAAGTTAAACAGAAATAGGGACCAGATTGGGATTTAACCTGCCATGT